TTCGAGCCTCTACATTTAGTACAATCTTCCCATGGACTCTTTAGTTGTTGAAGGTTTCATGAGGGTATTTTTATTATATTCATATTAACTTTCATTGCTTGGGTTTCTCTCACTGTGTTTGTCTTTCACCTTCCTGTTCAAAAGAGGAAATCTCAACAGGTATGAAATAAGCATGAACAAAAAAACAATAGAAATATTTAAGAATATAGAGAAATGCTGAAAAGAAATATTGAACAGTTTTTCTGTCTGCTTAGAATTGGGCTAAATATAATGAACAGAACTTATGTTGATCATAGCGTTACGTTCCACCTATTTCAAGCTACCGTGCATTAATTTGCCTGTACTTAAAGAAACATTTGACCGACACGTCCACTGCACGACCGGTAGCGCGGTACAGGAGGTCTAACTTCGGTAGTGTTGCCGCTTCACAAATAGATCGGCATGTCAGCTGTTTTACAGTTTGATTACAGACATGTACGCCAGGCTCGTAGTGTTTGTTTATCGGCGTTAGATCGGCATTTAGGATGAAAGAGATCATCTGACATTGGGTTGAGTCCTGCTGAAATGTTTGTTGTCGATAACAGTGATTCTTAAGATAATATGACGGTATGGAACCTTCCCATCTTCAATTATCGGCAAACGACCATAACTACACATGCTTGACTGTTATATCGTGCTAGTTATCTGCTGTGTATTTGTGAATATACAAAACGTGCATATCATTTCGGAATGTGATAAAGGTCAGGACTGTAGTTTCGTGATAGCGACATGAGGGTACACGCAAGAGAATGCATTTCCGGTATTTCTGTAATTATTGAGTAGGACATGACTGATTTGGTCTATGACGTGGTCACTTCCGTGCTATACCATTTCACATATCATTAAACGAAGAACATGAAAGGCTAATTACACATGGACCTCTGATTTATTGACGTACAATGTCCATTGTTAACAAGGCGGGTATTGTCACTGCATACACCGTAATTATAAAGGATGAATTCAGGTAGATTCCATACCGACAGCAATATAGTGTGAAAAAAGAGGTTTTAATTAACATTGATTTTAAGTGAAGATACACTGTACCATTCGGTAAGACAAATATACCTACAATGTAATTCCGAAAAGTCTTTCATTCTCCACCGATGTGTTTCATTTAGAAACAATTACAGTTTTTTTTTTATACCGTTGTTAAATTAGAGCCATACAATTCCGTTATCATCTATTTCAATAATTACAAATTACGGATCAATATGCATGAAAATTTGCTTCTTCAGAAACCAGTCTTACTTAAAAGAGAGCCATGCACATGATGTTAAGTGTTATTCCAATAACGCGTTATATGGTCAAGGGGACACCAACATTCCTTTTTTCAGTACTATAGTGAAATAACAGAAAGGAATAATGAATGCTATTATAAAAGCATCAGAACGCTCTTGAGATAGATGCGGTACGGATCAATGAAAGCATGGAAGTACCTACACGGACAGTCAGAACTTAACCGCTAGTGATAAGTACTGTCCGTGTCCGTCACGTCACGGCTAGACCTGTCCAGTGTGCTAATAAAAGAAGTTGTCGCCTGTTCGAATAACAACATTAGGAAACCCAGCAATTCTAAAAAGGGATTATTTTTAAGTACGTTATCAGCCGGTACAAACCCAATTTATTCATAAAAGAATACGTGTCGGCCTAATTGTGGTAGAGAGTTCTGTAATGGATTTGTATCGGCTTAGAATCCTACTTGGTTTAGTTAAAGGTGAATTTCCTCGTTGTGTTCACACAATAGAAACAAATTCTAGAGCTGAAATGAGTTTAAAAATCTAACAAAAGAAAAAACGTAGAAATGACTACTTAAAAACAAACCTTGATTTTATTGAATCATTAGTTTAAAAGTGACTTTTTAGCCTAATATTCATATGAAAACATACCACATGTGGTTCATGCTCAACAGAACAATAATGATTAGTATATTGTACAGTTGTAACCTATTATCAAATAACATATAAATCAATATTACAATGCGGACGCTTAATTTGATAGACTTGAACACAGTGTAACGAAAAAAAAAAGTTTCTTTTTCCTAAACCGTTTAGCAATATACATTGTATGCAAAACAAAAAGTGATAATAATAATGAAAATGATACATATGTTTATAATTTGCAGCTTGCATAATAATTATGTATCTTGATACAAAGTTTTTACATCAAGGACGTCGATGAGACAATCAAATTTGTTGATATTCCCAAAAACTGTTTCAAATGATAGGTACTGAACAATTATTCTAGAAAGCTATTTATGTAAAATGTGAATGCCATGTTTAGATAATGTTGTCTTAATAATATAAGTGAGGAAATGAGATATAAATTTTAAGTAGACAGCGAGTATACTTTGAACATTGTAGTACATTGTTTGAATCATACAGTGTAGAACGTCTGTTAAGTTATACAATGCAATCTGTTGTAAGATGTTATGAACACAACCAAAACTAGTTTGGTGATGTTCAAATATCAAGGTACACAATGCATAAAAAAAAAAAAAAAACAAGAACTGTTTGCATGTAATTATTAGTCTCGCCCCTGTCTGTCACGTGGTATCTTACTATTACCGGATTTCCTGCTCCACAGAGCCTATTCAATAATAATTCCATTTTGTCATACACGCAGTAACAACTTAGGCGATGTATTTCAATTCTTTACTAGAGCGGCACCTGTGCGTCCTGTATTGGAAGGCTACAATGGCGCGTTTTAAATATGTACTTAAACATTTGCATATCTTATGCGAGCAGATGATATTTTGCAGTATCAAAATCATTCCTTCATTATTCACAGCTGTTATACACAATAACTAAATAATCTATAGACATGACGTGTTAGAACGTCTGGGTGGTCCAAAAATTGTGATTTTGTAATGTTCTAGACCATTACATAGAAAAAAATCTACACTACATATGTCATCAGCATTATAGTACATACACATAATTATTTGTTTCTTGTGTGTATTACTAGTATGTTTTCGATTACATTACAAAACATATGAAAAATCAAAGTAGTCTGTCAAACGGTGTATCTTAAAACTGAATGGTTTTAATATTGATGTGTTTGAAGTGCATTGTCTGTCGATCACTTACCATTTCCCTTGATGAAATGGGCAAAACCTGTAATAAGGGCGGCATTTATTGAATCTTGTGTATCTTGATGTACCTACAACACTTATCGTAAAAATACTAGGTTTCGTCATCTTTTCCCTTGATATTTTTTCCGGCAATATAAAAACAACATTTAAATCGACACGAACAACATAAGGCTTTTACTTATAATGTCCCGGCTACTGGAGAACAGAAGAATGATATGTCCAATATAATTTAATAAACAACCTTGATGAATGTAAATGCTGAATATTTATACGAAGAATACAAATTGATGAAGGCCTAAAATGACTTGAGAAAAGCTATATATTACATCAAAGTTAACATGTTTAAAAAGGAAAGTGAACTGCCTGTTCCTCCGATAATTTGTTGCGTACAACATCGGTTTGCCCTGAGGGAGAAATTAATTACTGGCGATAATATTTTTACAATGACTGCTTTCTATCAATCACAGATTTTACTCGTCAAAATTTCATGCACTGAAATCACCCCGCAGTATCATACAACCCGATCTAGATTGTAATGTTATTTTCCTCGTTTTGCGTTCGTTGAGGCGTTAATGATCTATTCTTATGAAAAACTAATACCGAATTACGTGTTGTTATCCGAATGTGATGTATAACACTAGAGTCACAGCTGTCGACACGTCAAAAAAAGTTTTTTTCTCTTTTATCCTCTTATTCCAGCTCAATGCCCTCGTGTAATTTGTATACATTGTAAATGAAAAAAAAAATATCCATACCATTCCATACCATACAAAATGCACCAAAGACCTCATTAACGCATTCAGATACGAGCTTTTCGAAAAGAAGCTTTAAGTAGTTTGGGATACAGTATTATATTTTCAGATGCAGTAAATTTTTGATGTTTACAGTGTGTTTAATTTGATTCTACTATGCCTGATTTTAAGTTTGTATTGAAAGGTGCTATTTACTTGTGTGTCTTGTTCGTATATATATATATATTAATCATCTTAAGATGTAGTTCTACTTCCATAAAAAGTTGGTAAAAGCATGACATGTATGTATACTAGTCACACTTTAAGATTAGAATGCCAATTTACAACCTTAAAGAATACTGAATATAGAAGAAAAACCAACCCGATAGACGGAATTGTGAGCATAAATAGTCGCTCCGACATCAAATGATTATTTATACATTGATACAGATACTTTGTTCACACGATGTTATTATAGTATTATGATAAAAATATACCGATGTTTCATTGTTTGAAAGTTTTCATATCCATTCTACCTGTCAGATGTTAATGAAAAATACGATATGATGACTCTTAGTAATGTCAAACAGTTCGTTATTAATAAATTAATTCAGGACTTGGTTTTGTAAAAAGTGTTTATGTTATTTTCTCGGTTACCGAGAACAAGATCTTGCAATGTTATATCTTCCATTAATATTGTGTGGCCATTTTACTGAAATTCGGATCTCAGCGAACGTCTTTATCCGTTTAAGATACATGTATGTTTGACATATAACATGAAAAATGTTTTTCTTTGTTTATTTATTTATTTTTTTTTATGTCAGCATACATTTTATAATTCTTTTAATACAGGATGCATTACAACCCCAACTCAACCCCCCTCAAAAAAAAAAAAAAAAAAAACAAAAAAAAAAAAAAAAAAAAGAAAAATACAAACAAACAATCTTGTATACAAAATATTAAGCGGTGTATTGATCATTTGCTCTGGTCCGACCAACGTAAGTACATTTGAGTTAACCTTATCTTACGTGAAACAGAAACGCAGAGCTGGTGGCCACAGAACAAATGAACCCGCCACATGACTCATTGTATTTTGTTTACTTGTCAAATGTTTGACCGAAATCCTTGTATATTTCTAGGTATCCCTATGATGACGGCGATTGATTTCCAGTCGACATTAGACCCTAAATTCAACCCCACGCCTAACAACGTCACCTTCATGAGGGGCGACCTTGCTATCCTGTCTTGCTCAGTAGAAAACTTGGGCACAAAATTTGTAAGTAGTTCTATATCTTATATTCACTTTTTTCTGTTTCTGGTAATGTCTTTAGTTCTTCCAACTGAGAGACTTATTCACGCTGATAAAGTTAAAAATATTCACAATATATTACAATCCCCTCTGATAATTTGTATTCCGTAAGGACCATTCTTCTGTGATGCTTTTTTGCTGACAAAACCTCTGCTTTACAGGTATATATAGCGGTATTTGGAAGCTAATCTTACAGATATGTTTTGTTGTTCTTTCTGATGTCTTACATAGAGTTGCCCTTCCCAAAAAATAGGTGGGGCCAAGATGGCATGTGACATCTCACAGTCTTAATCATTCAGCATCCACCCCTCGAGGCCTATATACTGGCGCAGGTCGTGCTTTCTCCGGGAACTTCGGCTTTCCACCACCCTTAAATATAAAATTAACTACAAAAGATGAAAATATAGACTGTGGTGTTTTTATATATCTACTTGATGTTCAGGTTAATTTGCAAATGAATTGGCGGTAAAAACTGACTCGCCCGTTGTTGGTATAATATAACTACATTAGATGTCACATTACCGTGCTCATTAAGATAGCATTATTCAATTACGTTGATTGTTCTAGTGAATTGTTGAACCTGTAATTTGGATTTATAGGATTCTTTCTTTTACTAACAACACTTTTACATGCATATTGGTTATCGCCACCTGATAGTGTACAGTGCATACTTACATGCATGTAACCCCTATCTTACATATGTTTTGAACACGGGTGAACGTCGACAACTCTGATTTCCCATGAGGGATGAAAGTACTGAGTTCATGTAATTATCTCATACTGGCAAATTGTAGATGCAATATATTCCTGTATGAGGAGTATTGCGACCATTTCCTATAACTCTGAGAACTCTTTCATTCTAAGGCGTTTATGACATGTATGACCTTTATCACTGCTACAGAGAAGGAAATATGCTGAACTGTATGTTTAAAGAATGTCCGTCATAGTTTAACTTATAGAAGCTGAACAGAGTAAGTAAAATCTAAACAAAACATCTAGGTTAGAAGTGTATTGTGAACTGTAATGACAATGAAATACCGGATAAGCGTTGATTGACATTGAAGTAAATGGAAACTTTAGAATGCAATGGATCAGATTCCGATAACCGTGACAGGGGATCACACAGTAATTTGCTTTTCTGTCCTACTATGGTAAGTAGAAAAAAACCCACACATACTTGGCTTGTCGCACTTAGGTCTGGCAAGATCATTGATTAAATATTTAGAACGTTGATGTGGAATGTGCTCCAAATGTTTCGGATGTTTCTATGCCAACCGTGGTGCTTTTTTTAACTTGACTCTCGACTGGCATTGCAATTGTCGATGTTTTGTTACATCCGCCATTATGGTAGAAAGGGGTACATAAGTATCTCCCCCTATGTGAACAATTGACAAAACTAGTCTTATAGAGATACTAATGTTGAAGCTAGCGATTACATGCAAAGCTGTGAACGAATTAATGTTTTTCGATATCCAAACTGATGGGAAAATGTGTCAAAATTCCTTAGGCTGGAAGTATGTTTTATCCATTTTCTTTTTCAATGAAATCTGACTGCTTTATGATACATTTCTAAAATGACCAAAGCTGACTAATATACCTTTCTATTGAAATTTGAAACTTTGATATTGTGTAACTACTACGTGAACTGGCCAATGGTGCGTTTAAACTGACTCCTATGTGTAACTAATCATTTGTCAATCACAATATGTCAGTGCGTGCTTGAAGGCGTTAGAGCAGTCTTCACACCATATTTCTACATGTATATCTTGTATATCAAACCAAGGGCCATAACTAAGAAAAGGTGTGTATAAATGAAGCATGACAAATATAACAAGATATGTTAATCATCATATAATGATGAATGTGTCTTATCATGTCCATGGCTAATTGATGCTTTTCATCGCGTACACTAACTTTTACAAACAGTATAAGCTACAATTGAAAATATCCTATCATATTCTATTTCTTTGTGTGACACGAAGCTGGGCATATTTGATGCTCATTAGTTTGCCTGTTGATTCCGTTATTTATACCTTGTTCTCATTTGAGAATGTGACATTAATTATCTGGATTGGCTAAGGTTAACATGGCTGGTATCGTCGATCAAGCAGAAGACGCTTACTCTTCCGGAACACATGATCTTATTCTCCTTGTACTTTTTCAGGAGTCTCCGGGTAAACCTTTCTTTTGATCATATATTGCCTTCGTTTTATAAAAAATATGATTATGTTGACATGTTCGTATTTTCTTGAAGATTATTGATATACACTACTGATTATGGATACTACGGATATTCAAACCAAGTTATAAAACAATAACGATAATAAAATGCAAACAAGTTTTTTTGTATAAAATCCGTACAACATTCAGAGAACCTGGGCTTTACCCCTCCCTGAACAATTCTTACGATACCTGTTTGAATTAAAATCTTAATTATATATAGGTTTATCTTTTATAATATTTATGTTTTTATAAAAAAAAATTAAGATGTAAAGAGTCACACAGTTAACTGGAGGTTAATAATTGACATCAACTTGAAGGATAGAGAAAAAGTAGGATCGTATAGTAAAATTCTTCGACTTCTTTTCAAAGTATTCGACAGATAGGGAAACATATGAAAGTAAATACATTCAATAAATCAATCAATCATTCAATCAATTAATCAATCAATCAATCAATTAATCAAGCAAAAAATAAAAGCTGATTTTTTTTAGGAAATTATCGGCATGCACTATTACTGAGAAAGGACTTTGTTCTCGTACGCTCACGTGACAGGATCTAGTAATGGAAGCACGTAAAGATGAAATTGACAAACATGCTGTTAGTTAATTACCAAGAAAAAGAAAATGGTATTCGACAGACTATTTTTGTTCCTGAATTACGAGTGAATTTCGTTGAGATCATGTATCCATCACATGTTTTCGTGTTTAGTGAATAGCAAACCTAACTCTGTGATTAAAACAAGCATTAGTGAGGCTTAAAGGTTCATTTGTTGCTATATGAAGGTGATTATTATCTAATAAAAATGCCAAAGTGATTATTGGTATTTTCATTATCGGACAATTATAAAATTTGAAATTAGTAGTGAAACATAAATGCTACCATGTCCACTAGCTATAATTTCGTAAAACAAGTACACACACTTGCACACCTTATGCTATTGTTGAAGAACATGTTTAAAGCATTCTTGCAGAATAGCATATTACGGTAGTAAATCTAAAATGTCCCAGTAGATTAGCCTTTCCTATACCTTGAATAATGAAAAGTGTCATAACTTAGACAATGTTACAATACAAAGGGAATGTTCCCAATATGTTGTTCATTTACTCTCCCCTATAAAACAGCTGTGAAGTTTTAAACATAATACATGTACATGGTAGATAACAAAGGAATCAGCTGTGACGAGAAAGTGACCCCGCGAAATGACGTCTCACTACTTGTCTTTTGTCTGTATGCTTTAATTCATATACTATTGTAAAATTGAGAAACATTATTGTTTGGAAATATGTTTTTAACGTACAAATTGTTTTTCGCAAACCAGTTTCGGCTGTGCATATTGTAGTAGAACAGATGGTAAAGTGCTCATTAGCTTAATTCATCACGTATATATATTGAGAAGAAGTTGAAGTTGACAGGTCGTTACTAACAATTAGTCACAACGACCTAAGGTGACAAGATAAAGAAACCTAAATACGCCATGGTCATTTGACATTTGCCAGTGACCTTCTGACGATAGATATGCCCTTTTCAAACACAAACAGCATCGTCTTTTTCTGTTTGGTTGTCACTATATATGTTTTAAATCTTACTCGTACCATTTTCTTGTCAACGTTCAGCAAGGACATAGGTAACAAAAATTAAATGCCACGATAAAAAATAGATTTTAAAATGTGCAAAGTGACAAGGATTTTTACAATTGGACAAGTAATCAAAGATGGCGATACCAGTAAAAATTAACAATGGCATGGTCAAAGACGATGTCGTGAATGTCATGCTTTTCTACTTTAGGGCAATGAAACAAGACATGATAGATTTATGTTTTTTGTCGTCATTGTTATCCATCGGTCATCTTGATGTTATTGTTCAAATTAGATTCAAGCAAAAGCAAGAACAATGTATTATTGTTGATACATGAGAAGTGGCCGTTATATTGTATGTGATATTAGACAATATACAAGCAATACCTCGTTGTCGTTACCTCCTTGGGTTCACTGAGATCTACATTGTGTCATCGATGGAACAAAAGATGCCTACTTCCGGAACACTGAGTGTTATTCTACTTCGTCAAGGAGTCTCCGTGTAAATCTTTGTTTTGTACTTATATTGCATTAATTTCAACAAATGTAAATAAGATACAGTAGGGTACGATTTAAACAGCATCCATACAGCTGTTTTATCATTCTAGGACTCGTCAGTGAATCTAAGGCCTAATTCGTTAAAAAAAATAAAAAATTGAAATAAAAAAAACAACCATAAATTATCAAGAACAACATGGCAAGGTACGATAACGCCAAGATTCAACAGATTTAATCAGGTTTCAGTATTGCATAATTTGAATAGAACGTGAAGTGCATGCGCATATTCTGAACCACGGCGCTTCTCGAATGATACAAAACGTTGCATGTACAGGTAGCTTACAGCAAACCTCGGGGAAAACGTAAGCTTCGTTAGAAATGTTTTCTTTGCATACATTGGCTTTAATTAGCTGCAGTTTATAATGAGCCATTCGTTAACAATTCCGCTTTTTGAATATCATTGTGATGAAGCTAGTTTTGCTTTTTAAATTTCATTTCCGAAATTCAATGGATTTAGATGAAAATAATGATAGCCTGATACATGTATTACACATAATAATGTGCAGTGTTGAGGTCGATCCACTTTTTGTATTTTGCAGCGGATGCTTATGTTCGGTGAATCTCACAGCTTGTATTTAGCTTTACATACTAACTTTATTCCTTGCAATATAGGGAATCGTGGACACAGGGAAAATCCAACAAAAAACAAAGTCTACCGAACCTTTTCTTCGTTAGTAAGGATTTTCACTCACAATTAAATAGCACCTTTCAATACAACTTCAGAATTAAATAAGCATAGTCAAATAATAAACTAAACTACATAAAACAAGACGTTTCGCTCTTTTGAGATTTGTCAATGATACTAAGGGCTTAAAATGTTGGGGCCAAAATGTCAGCTTATTAACGGGAAATTGTATTAACTCAAATGTATAGCTTAGAAACATATAAACATGTCTTTAATCATGCCCTTTTCCAAATGAATGAAAACATCACACGTGGAACGGTGTCACCACATTTCAATGCAATAACATAGCATAGACAAAAGTGATTTGATGGACGGATTACTTTTTTAAACAACATTCATCTCAGCCGCGTAAATAATATTCTTCAGAGCTTAAACCATAAACAGTATTTACAAATATGCCAAAGTAAACTATGTATGATGGTTTGCAGCAGATAAAATACTGACGTGCAGAAACATGTAGTTGGCTTACATAATACCTGAATTTGAAAGGCATATCGGATGTTATTTCCATTGCTGTTTTAAATGTATTATTTTTTTATGTTGCAGGTGATCTGGCGAAGGACAGCGGATCCAAATCCACTATCCATAGGCAAGACTGTGTTTGTGGCAGACGATCGGTATCACATCAATTATATAGACTACAGAGTTCAGTGGGATCTGTATATCAAAAATGTCAGCCAAAAAGATGCAGGCCTCTACGAATGTCAAGTCAGCTCTCGCGAACGCAATATACGACGAGTTGTTTTCTTAACGGTAATAGGTACGTTGAAATATTTCTCTACAGTTGCTTCGTTTAGGAAGCATGACCAGGTATAAAAAGAATAAAATTCATGTCTTGACTAGTTGAAACCGTACATGGCTACAGCGGAATCGGAAAGGTTTCTGAGCCGATTTCCTGCATTTGGAAACACATATGAGATCCAAGTCTTTTTCTTTCTTACTAGTAGTTGTAGAACATATACCATGTAAACGATGTTTACCCATATCTAAATGAATAAAACAAAGACAAAATAACCTATTGTGATACTGAGAGCGTTATGAGTAAAACATTATAAAATTGTATTGTATCTATTTGCTTGGTGTTACTTAAGTCACATGGCGGTAAAGAAAATGCAAAAAATAATAACAATACAATTGAAAAAAAAGTAAAATAAAATAAATAAAGAAAAGCTTTTTGTCGTCTTAATGATAAAAGTATACACTCATGTGTAAGGAAATGTTACCGAAGTTAAATCTATCGAAGCACACTTATATTTTAAATTACAAACTTTCTTTTCTATCGCCTTACCTGCATTGTTTTAACAGTTTCTTTGATTTTATATGAACATTTACCAACGCGCATGTCGCATTAAACCCAATACAGAAGAGAGACATCGGACAAAGAAATGATTATCTAAAATACACTTTCGAAATAGTTTAGACAATTTCAAACCAAAATCCAATATATAATACGTAGTTTCAAGCGTCGATATGACCAAACACCATGCCAGATCTCCTTGGGGGCAACTGAAAGTCGCGTGTTTCTCGGTTTCAGCTGACTATTAATCAATGGCTGAGGTCCAAAAGAAAGGTTCTCTGTGAGAAAGCGTCTAGCGTGTCTTACGGCAGGGATTTATTCAAAGTGGAAACATCTTTGACCAGCTTCCAAACATCACAAATGCTATGGAAGTGGATCGTTGCAATACCAAACGCTTACAACGTACTTGATAGCCACGAATAAAACACGTGTGGTGTTCGATAAGCCATGTACCGCGGAAGTTACTGTTAAATATTTGGTTTCGATATGCTATCACTAACACCTGAACGTCTAAATTGCATACCCAGTTATTTGAAGAGCAGTATATCACCTTCCAAATCAACATAGATAATACAATCAGAAAGGGAATTCTGTTGCTCTTAAGTATGCTTTCTTCCTTTGCTTGTATTACAAAATAGGAAATGCTTACATCCGTACAGTCGCACAGACAGATGTACAGAAATAGAATACACAAAGCGCACAGTCGCTCACAGATAGATGTACAGCAATGACACGCACAAAGCATACAGTCGCACACAGGCAGATCTACAGCAATAAAACACACAAAGCGTACAGTCGCACAGACAGATGTACAGAAATAAAACACACAAAGCATTCAGTAGAACACAGACCGATGTACAGCAATAAAACACATAAAGCATACGGTCGCACACAGACAGATGTACAGCAATAAAACACACAAAGCGTACAGTCGCACCCAGGCAGATGTACAGCAATAGAACATCAGTAGTCAGATGTTGTTCATAAAGATGATTTTAATTTTATCCAATTCACAATGCAAGTAAACTTTTTTTTAAATGTGAGTTTACGAACGAAGTACAATGTTCATAGAACTTAGCTCGACGAAATGATAGACGGACGCCTAATTGATCAATGATGGACCGAATGGTTTCTTGTATGAGTGACATATAGAAACAGACTTGCATCAGATTGAACGGAGGGTTATTAAATACCCGTGTGTTCAGATGTTGCTGTCTTCGATGTTTTAATGGATGCAAATATCATCAACCTCATTTGTTATCTTCTAAAATCTTATCTCTTTGGTCAAATGAAGGAAACATCTCTTGATATATATATATATCTTATAAAATGTTGTTTTAAAGTGATAAAACCTGCAGGTGTCAAATCATTCAATCAAATATACTGACAAAGGGACTCCTGATCGCACTGTTCACGTGGAAAGCAAACCTTCCAGGAATATGGGCGAACATGTTTCTCGTTAATTTTTAATAAAGAGCCTTTGAGATATTAGGCTGATTTATACCCTATGAAAAGGTCTTACTTAAACATTTTCTTATTCGCCGCTGTGCGATTTCTGGTAGCTGTCTTATTCCTATGAATCTGAACCTGTCCGTTTGTTACAACATGTCGTCTCGGTATATATGCAATAAAAGAAGCCTTCTAGAGATGTTGTGGTCGCCTTTCTACTCACGCCATATTAGAACATGTAAAATGCAGCAAGCTAAAGGACAATAATTCTTTTGTAACGCCCAAATGTCCTTTTACCACAAATGTGTGTTCATTTTAAAACCATTACAGCAGTACAATACCGCTAATGATATCTTTTCGGTGTACTCTTACACAAAGCCTGTATTTTTTCTTTTCATTCAAATCACAAATAGTCGAAATCTGTGTAGCATAATTGGTGCAACGCTAATGTACCACTTCATTATTGCTTTTCTTGTGTTGAAATTTTTGATATACCTTGCTGATTTCTGTTAGTTTTATTGCTTTCTTAACCATGGATCGTAGCTACATGTGTTGTAATTTACTCTCATTTATTGTTTTTGTCTAATCAGCGTTGTCCTCTGTGGAATTTGCAATTTCTTGTTATCTTCTTTGACGATGTTTGTTTGTTTGGTATTTTATGGTGCCTAGTAATACCTTGTTGATATTCTATGACTATACCCATCATATCGAGGTTGATTTATCTGTATTACGCCCATGTTTACCCCAAATGTGCCCCTGATTTGTTCTTTTATTTGTATACACCGTCTATACATTTGTAAAAGCAAAACAATAGTTACAGATTTTACATTATTCGGACACACCCGGACATAAAACTGATTTGCAAGCAACAACCCCGTTTTGAAAAACAGAAAGGGAAGTCCAGACGAGCATCCGGAGGTGAATACTATCCCAAACCAAAAACACCTGTTTATAAAGAACTACGCGCTTTCACAGAACTTTGTTCAAACGAAAGATACATACCATTCTATTTTCAATGACAATAATGGAATGTGCCCTTTGTAAAAGCAAAGACTTGTATCATTACGTCAAAACTGTACCATTTATCCTAGTATAAACCATATATATAGTTCCTTAAATTGTTTATTCATCACAAACAAGTATGGCACACGTTCACTAACTGACTCGTCTTTCGGCAGATTACTTTTGAACATGTATATTGCTAATTTGAAATTTAAATGTGTTTTCAACATACAACGTAAATGCGTCTTTTGCCAATTTTCATGTATTCAGGATGCAAATTCACATGCGGAACGGAATCATGCAAGTCGTTGGTTTCTATTCAATAGTAAAAGCTAAGACCGATAATGCTTTGAAACCTTTCTTGGCGCATGTATACTTGCGTGTAACAATAAATTCACCTAGAGTTCTTCAATATTGACAAAAGCCTATGCGTATCAACGGGTGTGGTATAGATATTCCAGAAGGCAAGAACAACTGAGTAATGCATTTTTTAACCTTCATTATATCTTTCAGTTGTATCTGCATCACCAAAATTGTATTGGAACGCAGTTTTCTTCTGTGACTTGTGTGGAATTCTCTATCGATTTATTCGAACATTCAATCAGATAAAACAGAAAATGTATTACATATCGTATGTACATGTTGGCGATGTAACAGTACATATACAAGGTATCAAGATACATTTTTGGAACAATGATTTGCATGACAAACTTACATGATTTCCCGGCCGTACTTAACATTTGTCATTATTGTGTTAACCTTATGACTTATTGTTGTGTTTGTTTGCTGTCTAAGTTTGGATTCTAAAAAAATATAGCTGTTATCTGCTTAATGATCTAGATATCAGAGAAGAATCATAGTGTTTTATTCTTGGTTAATAAATGTTTTATACAAGATAATTTTATATTGAGTCCGGTAAAGTTGTTCCCGCACATATTTGAAATGAACGTTTACGTTATTAATTAGAACACTATTGGGGCAGCAACTGTGAGTTAAGGTATATCATCTGTCAGATAATAGCTTATATGAAAACAGAAATATCCGATACATTTGATAAATGAAAACTAGGAATATTAATAATAAAACATTGATTGTATATATTTCGTAAAAATTGTATAAAAGTAAACATCTCATTTTACTACAAACATAGATTAAAAAAAAAGTAGATGCAAACGCTGAATTCAATTGCATCATATAGCTGTTTCCCACTTCTTGGACTTGGCAGCGGTGCTAAAAACCTAAAGGTTGAATTTTACCAAATGGTTGAGGCGGTATACTAGCTCTGTAATTGAATGTAGTATTTTTATATGCATCTGTTAAGAGAGGAGAATCAAGTACATGAATGGCAGGTTATGGCAAACGTCAGAAACAAAATCAGTCCATCATTGTCAACCACCTGCTAACTCGAAAATTGTACAAAAGGTCACCCAAGGAATACAAGTTTGGAATCATTAGAGCCAAAAGCAACAAAAATACTAATATGTCAAAAGAATTGCAATCCAAACTCAGATTCAACAGAACGAGGGCAAAATACAAACGTGTATGAACAAAAGAAATACTTACACAGAGACTCCAGATATGGTACAAACATAATTATAGATTACACTGCATCATATCATACAGCTGTTTCATTTATCACCGTGGTGCTTGTTTCAGTGCCATATTAGTATCATGAGAACGATGCTGCTGAAGCAGCTCTTTTTTTTTATTGATATTGTTTCTCATAGCTGCATGAACATACTGTGTGGTTGTGAACTTAACAAATGGTTGTTATATCTAGTTGAATACATCTTACATCAGTTATTAACGCATGGTAACCCTTACTTTTAAATTTAAGAATAATTTATTCATTTTTTCCTGTCATTTCAGAACCACCAGCAACGAGCCCAAAGCCGACACCTAAACCAAGTGAGTGATGTCATTATCTGTAAACATGTGCTTACATACAAATTACACCGCCATATATAATCCCCACCCCCCATTTTTTTTTTTTTTTTACTTTTGATCATCATCCGTTGGTGTTTATCTCTTCCTTGTGACATAGCTAGCGAACAATTATAAGTTGTTTCGTAAAGATGCCTTTCAGCATGCTTCCGCTTCGTCTTTATTTCGAAAGTAACATTTTATTTCACAAAACATATTTCTGTCTACTAAATCAAACACGTGGTAATGAAGAATGAAATGTTATACATGTATACCTTGAAAAATGTCTTTATGTGCGTGTTTCTTTGATATGCAACGCTTTACAGTTGCAACACACGTTTTTAGTATGAAGACTATACAGCATAATTTTGAATTGTTTTTTTAATTTATCGTTTTTTGTTAAATTTATATTAATACGAAACGGATCAGACGCAAATTTAAAACACTTAAAAAATACATTTTAGATGAATTATTATTAATTGCTATTAGGTATCAGTATGCAAGATACACAATATGTGAAATATAGAATTTAGAAACAAATTATAATCCACTAAGGAAGGTGTGTATATGACTTATATAATACTTATGGTAAATGTGGTTGGGATGTTATACTCATATATAAACGTCAATCGGTTGTGTGATCAAGTACATTTCAGACCACGTAAATTATATATTTTTTTAAACCTTCATATTATACTTGTAACATTGTTGTCTAACCCTTTTTGTGTTTGGTTGCTTTGCATTTAAGCGATGAACGTTGTTTATATTTTCTTCTATACAAGTGAGCTCGAAATCACAAAAAGCGAAACGTCCTCTCTTAGAAGGAGGCGTTGTTCTTCATTACATCGTTTTTTTATATATATCCCTCTCCGATAGCAATTACGGCAAATTAGCTGAACAAAGCCTAAACTAGCTAAACAGAATATATTTATTCCAGATGGTCTAGAGCTATGGTTGATGATATTTAACTCCAAAAGATCTTGATCGCTTTATGGGTGAATTATGACATCCCAAGCTACAAATCCTCAGAATGGTGTAAATAATCTGTCTATAGTAATTGATAAGATTATTTGTTTATCTTGAGGGAAAGCATACTCGGTTACAATGTTTAAAGTATCTGATACACATACCTACATACCAAGTCGTCAGTATACATTGATTTTTATCCGAAAGAATACGTTTAATGTATCTTAATTTGTCATATTTCAAGTTAAAGGCAATCATTTCGATGTAAAAAAATAAAAGAAATTACTATATTTACATGAAAATCTTAAAATCGGGGAATAAGACCGGGTGTTCCAGACGAGTCGATCTAAATAAATAATGTCATTTTAAATAATGAGAACAATGTATTCAACAATGGAATAAACAACAAAACTAACGTGCATCAAACACGTCCACTTTCATACTTCTCTATCCTGTTGAACAACTCTCATCTTTTGAAACTATGTGTTACGAATTGGTCCATTAGTTGACGACTTCTTGCATCAAAGACGTGATAATTTGAATAGGCTATTGAATATCGTAAACATGTAACAACTACCACAGGTTGTTGATGCCGGAAGTTTGCTCACCGGAAATGGAAAATTAACAATAGAGAAATTGAAATCATCACATTTGTCATACAGTTTGTTGGAAAGCTATCCATGTTGATTTCGTTGTAACAAAAGATCGAGATAAGCAACTGGTTTAGAAGGGTGTGTCTTGTCTTTGATATCTAATTCTGGTGAGTATATATAATGGGCATGGTCAACTCATTTCTTCTTATTTATAGAAAAGACGTTATCAATATTTCTGAAAGTGAAATTAAATGACTTTGCAAGGTATTTATGACCTGTTATGATATGCTCCATGAATTCTAGGAATGAAACTTGTTTTGCTGTTACCATTGCGTTGAAATGTAAAATTACAATTCTTAATAACAAAATTTTCATTTTCCAAAATATACAAATATTGAATGTTACATAAAACATTAGTAAGATCTGTTTCGGTATAGTATGTCACAACAAAGTTGTACATACTATAGGCACCCATAAAGAACATAAACTACATACATGTATACTAGAGAAGCACATGATCTGTAGCTAGATGTTCATTATCACTATATATTGAGAAAAGTGAAATATAGACATCAAATAAGTTAAAAGCTACCAGTGAATAAGGAAAGATGAGATTAAATACAAATGTGGTGAATGGTATTTATTCACACTCTCAATATTTATACTTATATAAACTCAACAGAAGACTCGAATTGCCTAATGTCATATTATTGGTCACGGTAGTAATATCGTCAAGACATAACATAGCCGCAAATAAAATCATAGTGATACCATCTTTTTAAGTGGTGCCAGAGCAATTGTCAAGCAACTTCTAGGTAATGACTACATACTTCCGATAAGTTCATTAAATGATTGGGAACGGCAAGTGTATATTACTATGGTAATGGACAAGGACGATTATCTCCGGAGGTTATCGGTTCTGTCTCGAGCAGCAATTGCATATCCGTTTATTGATGTGGTAAGGGCCAAAGATTAATTCACTTTGCCTGTTAAAGAAAACTCAACACTTTTGTGTTAAGCGTTCTGTGGATATTTGTTTTATGTCTAGTGACCATTCTGACGGAACACTTACTTAATGATTTTCCAATGTATGTTAGCAACCGACATATCCATCTGTAGATTGCATGTACAGCCTCTTAAAACAACCTTGAATTAGAAAATGTATACTTTATAGAATATGGCGTTTATCGATGGTGTAAAATAGTTATCGTTATGACTATGCAGTAATTGATGTTTTTATTTTATCGAGTCTGCAAGTAGTAACGTCCAAATAACTTGACAAATTACTTATCACACAATGTTTGCATAGCATGCATTGATTGCAGCGAATGAAATGTTTCCTGCACTGAAGCCGCTAGTGAAGATATTAAAAACATAATGGTTTCAATGGGATTGCATTTTTAATGAATATTTAAATTAATGACATTAAGGTTTTAACATTGATTTATGGGATAGGGAAGCAAACATTTAGCATTTATCTTTTGAGCTAAAGGATCTCCCTTTGCGCACTCTTTATACTTCCAAACTATGTCATTTGTAACTGCTATTTCCTAGTAGCATGCTGTGGGTTCATAGCATTTCCTGGAAATAAGGGATAGAGATACAAGATAATTTCATATATTTTACAAACATACAATTTATATACCTTTTTTAAGAACAAATGCTTATAATTTACATCTAACATGTTACCAATACAAAAAACTAAATTTAAAAACATTCATATATTCCATATATTAACGAAGTTACAGTGTAGTAATCCCACTTAAATCCATCATAATTGTCTTTGGTAAATTTAAAACCGCATTGACCCTTGGCAGATACAACGTATGCAGTAATTATACTCAAATTGGTAAATGATATTTAATGCAATGTTTGGCTGTACTATATCTGATTTTAAATTTGTATCAAATAATGTAATTCTCCAAGATATCTCCAGATCAAAATAGATTCAAAATTAAGTCTACAAATACTAAACTACTCATGTTACATTGGTTCAAGAATTAAGGTTTCCATTAATTATCAGTAACAATAGTGATTTACCGCATAATTCATAACTTTATAGCTATATTACAACTGAAATAACCAACCTCTTATCAGTGATCACAAAAAATGTGATTGTTTCCTAGGAGTAGGGGTAATGGGAGTTTTTATAGAGCCATATGACATCAAATAGACAGTAAAGCTATCACATATATCTAGCAACAAAGAAATCGAAAATGTTTTTGGTTTATTTTATCTTGAATTATCACGGTCAGAGGATGCTGTGACATTAACGGAAATGTTGCATAAAAGATATCGGCCAGAGCAAATAAGATATGTTAATTGATTATTTTAAAGTTATATTGTGATGGAATGAAGTATGAAAAGTAGGCTTCCTTCTTGCCACAAAGATTGGTACTCGTCTTGTTCATGAACCTAAAGGGATTACATGTATAAGTATATACAGACTGACTTGATACCTAAATACCATATAAAATCGGTCTCAACATCCCCTATCTAAGGAACCGATAGATATATGGAAGCGGTATTTCTACAAAAAATACTAGATACTTTAAAAAAAGATAATACAAATGTGGATTTTAAATCTCCCATCAGGTGAGGTCATAACTATTGTGTAATAACATATAGAAACGATTATTGTTCAAAGTTATAAGATGCCTACGTTTTTACAATCACTCTAAAATTATTGGGGATCTCTTGTGACCTACCTTCATTTATTGATTTTCTTAGCTTAATACAGTCATATGTGATACAACATCGTCTTAGGGGACACATGGTAGCTGATAACTCACCAGCGAGGAATTAGGTCAAGGAGAAAATATATCACCAAAACGGTCATCATTTTATACTAGTTAGTTACATTGGATATCAGTGGGAAGTTCGAAAATTACAATTAACAATTCCTAATTCTTATTTGTTGAAATTAAGGCAAAATAATAGCAGAAGGGATAACAAAACGAAAAAAAATATGTAAAGAGAAAAGGACAAGGTTAACCGGAAAGATAAGCGTCCTCCGCTCCATTAAAATAGTCACAATGCAAATCTTGGTCAATTCAAGTCATTGATAGATAATAATGACACTGCTAGATACAAATGTGACATTAAATAATTTCTTACATTAAGTATATGATAACATTTGTTTACACTTGGTTTTATTTCCTTGTCCTTTTTCAGGGGGTTCCGTTTAAATCATTCTTTTGTTCATGTTTTCTCCTAGACTTATTGGCTATGAGTTTGGATTATGATTATGTTGATATGCTGGTATTTTCTTGTTGTTTTCTAACTATTTGTAAGAGTTAAGTTCAGTGACTTTTTCGGCGCCCTGGCTAATTCGTATATCATTGTAAAACAACGTTCATAAAATAACATAATACGTTGCAGACATTACAAGAACAATGGTATTGAACATGACGCTTCATTGGCCATACTACTTTCCCTATCGTAATCAGAACCGCTTTCTCCCTTAGACTAATGGGGCTCAGAAGTAAGATGGCACGACATAGCTCCAGACATCTACAAAATTTTCATGATACAAAGATTCCCTTGGGTGTTATGATATTGCTTACAGTAAGCGAATCCGGTATTGTCTAGAAAATGCACATATCATAAACTTCGATATAATATACATTTCCAAGCTGAGAAGCATGTGATGAAGAATATATATATATTACATGCCGTGTAGAATATTGACGATGGGTATCCAACAAAAAGTATGATTAAAGCATATAAAATGTTTACGAGATAACTGTATCATACCATATCATATCAAGTCTAGTTTCTGCAAATAATAAATGTATCAGAAGGCCTAGGATACTAAGTAGTTATACACTTTCATCTCTAGTTGGTATTTGTACAGTGAATGTTTTGGTCCTTATTGCTACAAATGCTTTCAACAAACTTTCAACATCTCACACATTATTTCAGTAGGTTTGTTTACATCTAGAAACGAACCACTATAGACGTAGAAATAGCAGAAATATCAACAGTGTTAAAACTAAACAATAACACTTTTGTAAGGGTTGATACAAAAAATACAATAGCTTAAGATTAGGAATTTTAGTTGTAGACTATTAGCAATTTTATGTATCTTTTCAGAAATTTTAATCACCGGATCCCAGTTCGTAGAGATAGGCAACAAAATCTACCTCATGTGTAATGCCACAACAGATGATTTTCCTAACGACGATTTAGACTGGTTTAAAGATGGACACGAAATTGTACAGAATAATAATGACAAACATATCAGTATAACGAAATTTGTGTCGTTGATAGACAAACTAATATACAGTGTATTAACTGTGAATAATGTGAAACTGGAGGATGCTGGGAAATACGTGTGTAGAACATCCGACCTCCATATAACAAGTACGCTTGTCAACGTCCTCAGTGGTGAGTATGTAGTTTTCAAAGGGGCATAACTCTTGTGGTAGAAGTAGAATGTGCTGGTAGATGCATGGAGGTCATATATATGCAAATCGGCTCAGTTTTGTCTGAAACGTGCTTTGCATGTAGGTGGCAGATATCACTATATGAAAACTTATCCACTTCGAATGGAATGTAGGGGAGAAGAGTAGCTCATATTGGTAAAATGGAATTTTGGAAAATTTTGAATATCAATCTACTGACATGTATAATAAGACATGGTGCTCTAAGCCGGTGCCAATAATTCAGATGAATTATCAGTTCTTAGTGTGCTTAACGATTTAGTTTTCTATTGTGAAACATTTGGTAAACATCCTATTACCAATAATGGTCATCTCGGATCTAACTTCCTGGTATGTAATTATTTTGAACATGTTCATCTCTAAATGGCAAGGCGCAGATATGTACAGGTTTTAACGATAATATCAATACCTCCATTGTGAACGTTAAATTTTGCCTTGAACCTGCTCAATGGATGCCTTGTATCAGACAAGTGGGCCTTCGTTTACCGTCTGTTACCCTTACAAGATAAACAGGATCTTGTCTCGTAGCAAAGCGGGTGTAAATTGTTCTCTCTGATAAGTTTGGTAAGAAATGGAAACAGACAAGACGCCAACTAAAGCACCGAAATCTATTACAAACAGTTGGTCAGGAGCATAGGTTCAAGTCTTGGAATTGTAAACATTTCTTTGAAGTTGATGTTTCCATTGCAAACCGGGGACATTCTGCTTAATTTGTAAAAGAAAAACAAAGAAGAGAAATTGCTTGTCTCCAGATGTAGTGTTATTCAATTAGAGTGTTTACAGGCAGACTGAAGAAAGCTGTTGAAGTTCTTGCCTAGCTCTGGCGGTAAAAGTTATATTTATTAAGTTATAGCTAGGGTTTTAAGTCATTCCGGAAACTCCGAGTGCTGTATAATCTTATTTAGATGGACAGTAGTGTTTTCTATGCATTTACATTCTTTTAAAAGTATCAATATTCAAAAATGCCGTCCTCATGAAACAACTGTTTATGTATATCTTCCAGGAATACTTCACATAAAAAAGGAAAAAGGAAAATCAAAATCCATACATGGTGATATACTCATGTTGATGAAAAATAATTCAAAGTAAAATTACGTACTTTTACTATAGAAATTAATTTAAAGCGATCATGTGCCATGTTGGAAAGTTTGGTGTGTTGTGTGTGCGCTAGAACCGCTGTCGACTATAGTTTATTTGTGGCATCTGATGTCTGCATGACTTACTCTTATAGGCATATACATTACAGTCATGCTAATGTAACTAGGCGTGGAACTGTATTATTATTATTTGTTTGCATGAATATGTTTTGCACCATAAGTAACGCGGGCTCGGTAGATGATCAAACAAATGTCTATTTAATACCATTATGAAGGTGGATTCCGGCTCTGAACTGTATAAACATTAACTTATAGAAAGAGATTTATTAACACACAAATACCTTGGTTTTGGTATATGAAATATGTTTTCTATCTGAACTGGTTCTATTGACGAGATTGAATTTGAGTGATTTTAGGAATACTGTATGTTGTTCCACCTTTTATTGCTGTTTAGATATAATTTTACTATTGTTTGTTCCCTTTCCTCGTGACCATTGTCGTGATTGGCTTATTTTCTCTTTCGTTCTTGGTTTTTTACAGCTTGAATGAAATAAAACAAATCTTTAACACGGACTACGTCAACATATTTACTGTCGTGGTTTTAAAGGTTTATCACATTTGAAATATGTTCGTGTGATTTCGTAACCTTAACCTTACAGAGTGTTAAGATTAAAAAAAATCATGTTGATCTTTGCTAATTTATATATATATATATTTGGGAAAATGTTTTTATTTTTTATATTGTTTCTTTTGTATAAATAAATATATATATATTTGGAAATGCCATGCCACTTGAACAATGATCACTTGATAAATGTTCTGGATGTTGGATATTGATTTGAAGACTTGCCCCATCGTTACAGAGCCCGACAAGCACGGGGAGCTGATAGATCCAACCCATCCTCCCGGTGGTAAACATCCTATACATTATCACCCACTTCATGTCGTTCTTACAAGTGGTATCCCACAATCCCACAATTCCTTAACAAGGCTTTAATCATTACGCTAGAACAGGGAGGCTAACATTTAATCGTGAGGGTTACAGTGTTTCACTGTTTTGAAAGCTAATGGATTGTATGGCAAATTAAAAATGTTAAATAAGATTAATGAAAATTATTTTTGATTCAAGAGATAAAGTGCTATTACATTGCTATTTTAATTTGCAAATAAAAATTGAACTTTGTAGCTACATCATTCGACACATAGTTCGAGTAAAATGAAGATAAAAAGTACTAGCTAATGATTATCGCCCTATAATCTTTTTACTATGACGGTCAGTTTTTTTACTTTGCAATATTTCAATTTTGTGAAGCTTTGATAGAAAACAGCAGTTAAGTATTTTAAAAGTGGCTGGACTATTTGACATTTGTAAATGATCAAAAATATGCATAAATCTTATAAATAACATTAGTGTGATTGTCTAGTCAATGAACATGCATGCAAAGTCATTCAGACACCAAATGTTTTAATGTCTATTACCTTTTAGATTATATTGAAATTAATTTTCTTGAACAAAAGAAAAACCAAAAGCGTATGTAAATGTTTTAATTCATATTGTATTTAGCCTTTAACATCTCCATTATTCAAACTTAAAGAGAAATATATATGACTTATCAATATTTTGTTTGTATTACCCTGTACCTGCATGAATGTTGTTTATACCAATGTAGCGTTTTTAACATATAAATTGAAAACGTTTCATGGTATAGATTTTTAGAAACATTATGATCGATGCATGTTGGTTGATGTTTTATCATGGTGTCGCAAATGTAAACGTCTGTTGGAACTTTTCGCAGAATTACAAAACTGTAATGTTTATTTAGTTGTTTAATTTAGCAACAAAATTACAGATAATGCAATTTCAAGATAGATGTATAAAGTTATTGTCATGAAAAACAAGCTTTGTAATTAGGTATATGTAAGCTCTCTTAAATATCTGATATTGACATAATATGGCATACTCACCTATATAGAGTTTTTATCAGCATACGTACTATACTTCTCTCCTGCACCTTCATAAATTATCAATGTATCGTAAGTGCATGAAAGGTGGTCTTGACACTCCTTTCTTTACTATTGATTTATAATCGATTCTGTGTTTCAGCTAAATCATCTATTATTAGACGAAGTGGTAAGTACTTATATTTATGTTTCATAGCAAGTGTAGTTGCACATGATTTAAGCTATAATAACTCATCATCAATCTCGGGTTACTCAGACCGCGTTATCATATCAAACACTCATCAATATTGCCATAAAGTGTATTTGTAAACAGTTAACCCAGTTATGATTTTGTGCTTGCTGATATACGTTTACAACTTTATATAGTGGTGGTCTAATCTTCCCACGCCTTTTTCGTCGTTTAATGTCATATAAATGATATTATCATATCAGCCAAATGTACAAGTGTATGTACTCAGGCAATGCTTTCGGAACAACTAGCATTTGGTAAATGAACAATGAGTACATTTTCTAAATAATGTATAACACAACTGTCATACGGATTGACAAGATACACAATAGTTTATCACCATATATATTGTACCCAGTATTTAGTCATGCTAATCCACACGGTCCATATGCACTGTACGTGGCTGCCATTTATTGATATTTTTATATTAACAGTCATGATCTGATACTCACAATATTCATAGTTGACATACATAATCCCTAACAGAGGTTTTGCAAATGCAAAGATACAAAACAATGTTTTCGCCCGGGATTGTTTTGCCCTTGTTCTATAGTACATGAATTCGCTTCTTGTCCGTGTCGCCCTCTTAGGACTATATAAAACGCTATATAAGCGTAACAAATCTTCATCTCCAACTTGAATTCGACGTCCTTTCATAGACGAAAAACTTTGCGAAAACTGACAGTAGATTAGCTCCGGTTACCAAAACATGCTGATCGTGATTCTATCCAATTTTGTTGAGTGAAAAAGAAAATGCGGATATCTGACAATTTAGCAACAACGAAAGAAATGTAGATAGTAACATCACTGTTTCTCAAAAGACATATGTAGACTTCTTACAGTGGTTTAATTGCAAAGGTCAGCAGTAAAATCAGAAATTACTTTGATAGAACATGTGTATTTTCATTTAGCTCTTTCTTTGACGTTAACATGTATTAATGCATTGATGGTATTATTTTCTTGTTTGTTTGTTTTACGTCTTCACAACGTCAACATGTATTGTAAATTTCATTAAAAGCAATCGAGGCGGCTGGTTTAGCTCAGTCAGTTACAAGGTTGAAATACGTAATTTATGGTGAAAGTCCGAGGTGCATGGATCAAATCTTCCTACTCGGTGTGTTGTACTCAGGAAGCTAGGAAAGGGGCCAGTCTGTGCTGCCTTGGTTGTGTCCTTTCGGAAGAAGCATGCGAAATGCCTCCCGTATGTACATGTAGTTAAGTGAAGTAGCTAGCAGCTACCACATATATCCTTGCCGATCACGGGGCGATAAACACATCCAAAAACAAAAAACAATGTCTCTTATCACCTGCATATAACTTAGTTGTTTGGTGTTTGTAATGAAGGTCAAATCAACCTATACAAGCATCTTAAGTTCATATCGTAAGTGTAATATATTCGGATGTTCGTGTCGAAGGCACTTTGTCATGATATTGGTACCGGTTCGTTATTCTGACATTTCAAATAGTAAGGTTCAGTTCCTAGTCCATACCATTCAGCGCTAAGTAACAACCATCAAGTATCATTTTAACGACATTGGTGTTTTCAACAATGAAGCAGAGAGAGATAAAGATCTCGTCCTAAGTTGCCTCCGACATTCTTACATCATGCACAACAGGTATAACTTACCGTATCTGCAGCTACTTGTGTCAGTTTGACAAACAATGTTAAGTATAGAAATCACCCGTTGTAATACAAATGGGTAACAAATAGTTAAATGTATTTGCAATACGATTTGAAATCCCTCCGGATATTGTAGAGATAACTGCATAGAACAGTTAAAATGCATGCATATATTGTATCTGAAGCCCCAGACACTAGGTAGATTGCTGTGATGATCGAAACCGAATATGCATATAGACCTACATTGGCCAAATTTGTTTATGCGTTGACAAGTGGAGTAACGCATATAGAAATTCAAACAAATATTCGTTAAAAGCCCATAGGCTTCACTTTTGCATGTGATCCATTTTCTGATATAACGTTAAAACGCATCTATTGCCATTGTACTACTCTGTCCCGGTGATATTTTCTGACATGCACTGTCCCTAAGGATATTATTGTGTCTGAGTGTGTCTCATACACCCCATATAACTAGTATCAGTCGTAATTATAGTGTATGGGAATGTACAAATAAAGCAATTCACATGGATACATTCGTAGGATGCTTATGCGAAAATTCCAACTCGCTGAGGAGTAATATTTTTGCTTTGATTATCAGATGTAAGTTATGATTTTATTTTGTCTACAAATATTAGTTTATACAATTCAAACTGGAATTATGAAGACGTAGCAACCGATATTACTAACAGAATCGAAATGCATCGATACATGTATAAGAAAGTTAGCATTTAGTACCTGAACGTGAATGCTACAGTAGCGTGAATGTGATGTGTATAATTTTATTCCAATCTTTGAGGCGGCTTTTCAAGTGTTTCTCGTACATAATTAAGGATAATATATTGCGAAAGATTGCGATGTGATGTGACAGAGAGTCATACTTACACGACATCACCCTTGTTCTCTCCGTTTGGTAACATTCCCATCTTTTGATTAAAACATTCTAAACCGTTTTGTAGGATCAAAGGTTTCTTTCATTATTTTTTTCAATTTTAAGATAACTTATTTAGAAAAACCTTCTGAAAAAAATCAACAGCCCTATTTATTTGTGGCTTTGTCTCATCTTCACAGCTAAGGTTCAAATGCCATTTAAACATGTTTACAAGTTTAAAAAATCCTCATTTGGGAAAAAGACGCTCCGTAAGTACATTTACCAAGATTTACAATACGCATCTCGCCAATGAAGGTGAAGACTTGTTCCCTTCCGAGTCACCTGATCGTGTTTTCCTTGTACACGTGCCTTTCCAGGAGTCACAGAATCATCGAATTCGTATTTGAATGATGGTTCCGTTAAATATGTTGGTATTTGCTCTCTTGTTTTTATACAATTACAAAATAACACGTGAAAGAAGGATGGAAGTTATTATTACACAACAAGTAGAAGATTTAACATGTGTTGCTTCCGATATAACAGTATTTATCAATTTGGTCTTTGAATGAAATATGGCTTAATTCGACAGTTTTTTTTCTAAATGTGATGTTCAGGTACATTAGAAATTATTATACCAAGCGAATTAGAATTCACGTGCTTAAGTAAAGCTGTTTTCCGTCATTGCCGAATACAGCAAAATATTTTTAGTAAATTATTCCTACTATGGCGTCTAGAAGCAAATTAATATATATAAAAAAATATCTCCACTTTACAAGTCTTTTATAAACCCAATTAAAAACACAAGTTGTATTGTATATCGAGGTAATTATTTGGAAGTTATGAAACTGAATACTACAGAAATGTCAATATTGTGAAATGAAAGAATTATAACAGATGCATTTCCTTTATTGATCCCTTTAAAACATATTGTGTAATGTTTCGTCTTTATGATACCAAGATTTGCCATGGTTTTTTTATATTACAACTAATATTAATATTTTTTCATAACCACATTATTTCATTGTCTGATGCATCCTTCCACTCCAACTCTTTCCCAATTTCTTCTCTTAATGGTAACTTTCAAAAAATAAAAATACCGTCCTACTGCAAGGTCATACAAGTAAGGAACTGAATTCATATAAGTACTTAAGTGTTTGTTTTTTAATCATCTTTGTTGATCTATATATTATTTTGTCTCTGTCGTATGTTAAATGAAATACAATTAAAACTAAGTATGAATTAGAATGACACCATGATGTGTCACTTTGCTTACACAACGTTACTATGTTACGTTTCAGTTGTCATGAGTGCTGCTCTATTTTATTACGAAACTTTCTCATTTCAAATGGTAAATCTCTGTTATTGTATAGAATAAACTGTATAGTGAAGCCCAGTCAGTCGAGCATTAACACCGAAGATCCGATCTCTGTGGTTCGATCTCTACTCGGTAAAAACAAAGAAATGCTAACATGTAGCTATATATACAATTCTTTGTACGAAAAACTCACAATGAAAACAATAACTAAAGACCAGATTTTTTCACTGATTTGAATGTGCGATAATGAGGAAAATACGTAAAATTCATTCAAATTGCAACAATATAACAGATAGTTGAATTTGCCCATTTAACATTTGAAATATATAGAGAGTTATTCCCCTTTCCATTGTTTGCTGGTGACATTACACGTTGGATACGTTATCGTTTTGTTTAAACTTCTTGATTTGATAAAAAGGGGTACATAAGCCGTATGCTCGAGATAATCTTCCTAAACTCATTGTGGAGCATGCAACTGGAGCTGCCACTCGGCGCTAACAACTTGGAAGAATTTCCAGCACTGCCCATCCACTTATTTACACTGTGTGAAGTACTCTGTTAAGGATACAACACGGTATCCATGCCGATGATCGAACTAGCAACCCCTTAAATACTAGTCTCTCGTCCTATTATTTCCCATGACACCTCTTTTATAAAAGGTTATTTCCACATAAAAACGCAACTTAAAAAGGATATGTAATGAGGGAGAAAAAAAATCTTAAGCACACTCACAGATATGAAGTGTGGACCCTGATGCGATATTCTGGATCGTATGCTTATCACAAACGTACAGTTATATTGAGAACATATTGGTTTATGATAAATCGTATACTGACAATGCAATCGATCAAGTTGTGCACAATGAAAGTTAGATTGTTTATCAGCTAACTAATTGGGATATGATGTTTATGATCAACAGGTAGCAACATAGCGTTGACTAGTAATCAGTCAACTGGTAGAACCCCTGGATATGTCGTTGAAATATATACATTTATTGATGCAAATTTATCAAAAAAACATTGTCAAAAACGCAATATGCCAAAAGCAAATTTCACTTTAGAACAAAACCAATATATACATGATGCATTAAAGAGATAAAGGTTTTCATTGACATAAATGTGTATTCCATCGTATTAACTAATATTAACTAATAAAGAGTCACATTCTGAAGAATTTATATGTCATCGCACTTTGTATCAGTCTGTCAGCTGTAATATCCAGGGTGTTAAATGAAGGCTATTAGTGATAAGTAGATATTTGCTTCTCTTTGAGTTAAACGTACAAATTATATGACAAGATAATGGATACGATATTTTCATCTTGTCAAATGATTGTAACGATATGGACATTTAGTTGATCAGGATGAAACAATTTGTCATTGCTATTATACAGACACGCATTAATCACAGCAAAATGAGTGTGGCCAATTGCATAAAGTACATATTCTACAATATTACGATCATATATCTATTTTGTATTTTATGTTTTACAGACACAGCAGAAACAGAGTCAACAAATGGTTACTCCTCGGCAGCATCGTCCTTATTTGTTTTATTACCCATTTTAACAATTCCATTAACGTTATATATACTTATGTCAACGTGATCTACATCTTTGTTGTTGTTTGGATAAATCGTTATTTTTCTTTCTTATCAATCAATACTATGCAGATTGTGTGTAATAAATTTTATATTTTACTTAAAAATGGATTATTGTTTTTTATCGTAGGTGTTGATCTTCAAGCTCTGGGTATTTAACGCTTGTCTTTGACATTACGAAATAAAAAAAATGATGGATCGATAAAGACGAAAAATGACAATTGTTTTTGGTAATTCTTTACAATTGCAAACACGAAATAAAACTACCACGTAGTTGTTTCCGATTGTAATGTCTCTCCAGAAACGACGGATAAGTTATTCTAATAGGGCTCACTTTATACAGCATGATTATCTGTGATTCTTAAAACATTAGAATGTTGGATAGCAGTAAACAGTTCATTTAACTTGCCTTTCTCAGAATCGTAGGCGTGTTTGTAGATATGCAGTAATAACAACGTTAGTAGGGAAAGGGTTCAAGTTCAACAAATGCTAACTTTCAGCGACTCCAAAACGTGAACACACTTGGACACTAAGAAAATTCACTATATATATATATAAATTGTAATGAAAAACTATATTATGGGGTAATCAAATGAACATAAAATATCACTCGTGACCACAACGGGAAACTAGGTACTGATACCAACTGAATTACGACCCATTTATCTTTCTTTATAAATTTCATTAGAAATTACTGTGAGTGATAAGAAAATAACAAGACAATATACCGTATGACTGATTAACTGTATGGTGTATTTTGACCAACTCTGTTCTAAAACTAGGAATAAAGTAAGATCGCAAGTTTTAACCTGTTTTGAAAACAAAAAAACACCCCAATCAATAGGTCAGGGAATCCGTGAATGTAAATTACTCAACAATAGAGTGACAACACGATTATATAATCTTGCTTATAACATCATAGTTTTGACGAAGTCTAAAGAACGCCGACATCATAATTTGTCATTGATAATGTCACCAATGCACTGTGATGTGATATTGAAGACCAGAATGCCCACAAAAGAACAGGTAAGCATCTGACGCATTTCTCTGAAGAGATGAATAGTAATATGATCTCAAAGATCCCTAAATGTCATCCTCAGGTATATGGCATCACAATTACATATATCTACCGTCCTATCCCTCTTTTGACAGAGAATATCGGAAACTGCACTGGTAACCAATCGTTTTTGATTCATCAAATCTTTTTCGAATACCTTTCTTTGAAAAATATCCACACGTACTGAAAGGTGTCCAATAGATAATTTTACCAGAATGCATTTAGTCCTTACATGTTCCTTCCTTGTTTCTATGGATGCAGGAAATTAAACTACAAATTGTATGTATTTATTTGAGTTGTACTTTCAAAATAACTCTGAGATTGTAACTGAACTGTTCTTTATATGTAACGTAATGAAGAACAGTTTTCTAATTTACAGCGATCCTTGGAAAACAGCTCATTCACAACAACATCCGAATTACCTCCCTTTATGCACCCGAGATGATTAAAAAGAAACCATTATCACCATGTTTCAGTCGTTGTTGTGAGTTCATAGATATAAAAAAAATCAATGAAAGTGTTACAAGTTATAAAACAGGACATGATTGAAATATACAAGTATAAACAGATTGGTTATACGAACGTCTTCTTCGAGATATCATAGTATATGATTGAGATGTAAAACTATCAAAAGTGCATCCTTATCTATATAGATATTTATTATTTTCATACCGACTACAATTACAATAAAGAAATCAAAGTAAACAAAAAATGGTTTTTGACTTGTGATTTCACTTCCTGTAAAGCTAGCTTTTGATGTGTATTTTGACAGCACGCCTTCACAACAGGAACATGCGTGAACAGGAAGGAATGAATTTCACTTCCTGTAAAGCTAGCTTTTGATGTGTAGACACAGATTCGAGACTGCCTAAATAGTTATCTCCTACGTAGTGCAGAGATATTATTCTCGAAAATATAAAGCCCCACATTGTCAACTCCACTATGATTATAGCAATCGAACAAAAGTGATAGCGGTAACACATTGATCTGTGTATAGACGGTATACACATACAGTCACGAAAGGAGTATTGATAAATCCGTAAAGGTTACTAAAAGTGATCACGAAGGGTAAATGCATATTTTATGTATTTAATGTGAAAATGTTATTAGGTCCATTAAAATTTATTCTTGATTTTGATTTCTCTTAATGACCTTCTTCTTCAATAAGAACAAATGTAGGTTTACATCACCACTGACAGGAGCTGCAAAGGCAACACGGCTTAATAATCCTGTATAACATATTTTGAATAGAGGTACTGAAATCCGCATTTGTACTGAAAATTGATGTTCCGATAAATGATTGTATTTCTGTAGGATAAAGAACTGTTTGACATCCAACAACACCTTTTGCATAATACTAACATAATAATAAGCAGTTTGATAAATATGTTTTATTAATTTCGTTTTCGTTCACATACTATAGCCGACGTTAAATTCATTGAAATAACAGAACAAAATAACGTCAATCGTTATATCGCTGCTGATGATTTAAAGCTAATATTCTTCCTCTATCTAGACGTCTTTTCAAAGACAATAATACAAAACAATTACAAAGCAATTATTTTGATACAGCTCGTCCGTAATATTTTCCTAGATATGCTAACACCTAACGCTATCTGCATTAGTAAACTTACAATGGCAGTGTTACAGGCAAAATCGTATTGTTTTGTTGATTTATCTTGATTGAGGGAATGCATAATTGCAGTCGGAAAGGATTGGATGACATTGACGTGATGAATGAAATATGTGTGAGAGTAAGTCAAAACTGAAAGATAATTTTTGTATCTGGAAAAATCTACTTACCAACGAAATCGACATTCTAATTGAAATGAAATGGAGTCATATTGGAAAGAATTTTCAAAATTGTCTCCCGAAGGTCCGGTCTTTGACAAGGACATCGAGCGCAAGACCATGTGTTGCAGGGGATTCAAACATCCTCTGCTACATCGACGAGATCATGCATCTAAGCTGAGATCACCACCAGCAACGTCATGTTCTAGAACAAAGGCATTATATTTGTACCGACAATTCAACATAATCATAACCCAAACCCAAATTCAAAGTAAAAATTAACAGAAGGAAGATTTACATGAAGGCTCCTGAAATATATAAGGTTAATGAAACACGTGTTCCAATGCAAGCAAATCATGACAAGTTCTTAAATGAGAACAAGGAATACACCAACGGAACCAATCTGCAAACTAGCGAGCAACAGGCACGATTAGCGTTCTGATATAACCTTTCTGGTTGAACAGATATGTAGGTGTTGATACAAGGTGTCAGCTTCCTTTACGAAAAATCAAGCAAAAAGTTGTAATGATTATCCGTTTAGGATTATAAGCTGTAAAAATGACTTCGCCATCACATTTGAAGGATTTGAAGACTATCTATCGTTCACAGATTCAATAATGTCTAGGTATCGTTGTCAAATAATGTCTCGTGTATCACCACTTTAGATTACATGGTGAGGCTCTTATGTTGAAGTGAAAAGAAATCACTTGACAAAGATTGAGCGTTTTGACGAAATAAACACACGCACATATATAAGATATTGGTAACATTTAACCTCCTTTGTTGAAATGAGATAACTTGTAAAGTATGTCAAGCTAACACAGTGACGCTCCTTTTACACCGTCACACATTTATATCCATGAACCATCCAGGCTTGTGCCAGGGCAGCAAGAAGCTACAATATATTGCTTGTCACATGAATGAAGTAATTTACGTGTCACATTGAATTATTTCAAATGACATCATCCGATTGAAATAGGTGACATATAGCCAATCAGCCAATTGCATACCACTTTCTATTCTAAGTGTCATGACGGGGTGTATTTCAACAAGTTTAATGTTTTTGATGCATAATGCGATACCTAAATAAAGAAACATGATCTACACATCGAAGTTGCGTACTTATTTAGTGTATAGTCACAATGAGACCTAACACTAAACTTGACTGAAACGACGAAATTTGTCAGATGTTCCAATGTACACATACCATGAAAAATCTCTGTGGGTTTCCTTTATTTGTTTTGTAAAACAGAATAAAAAGAATGTGTCTACATCGAACCTTGTGCTTAGGACAAGAACACGACGGTAAATGTGGGAATTAAAACATCGAGTGGTATAATCATTATTAATTAACTGTTACTCGGTGGACTGCTACCAGACAGTCCACTCCACCATTGCACGATATACAGTGCGCATTGTATCAAAATGGGTAGCTCGGTGCTTTTGAGAAAAGAGGTCAAATATATCTTCTTTGATCAAATTCCATATATTATCTTTAGCAACTGTTGGTCCTATAGGTATTTCTTTTCATTCGGCATAACCAGCAAAATATTGAATTATCTCTTAGAAAATGAAATATAAAGTACAATCCTCTTTAGACCATCTTTTATGTCGATAGTGACGTAATAGTTCTTGATTTTTCACGGGGTAAACGAGTATGATTATCAATGCAATTTATCAAGTCGATACACAAGGGAGACAACCAAAATGTAACCATCACCAGGAACATCTGTTATAGGCTTGGTAAAAATATGACCTTTATGAAACAGGATCCACCAGGACAGAATAAGAGAGATAACTCGATAACATTGTCGCTCATTGCTACTAGAAAATAAAATTCGTTCTCTCTCTAAACAACTGATTGAATATTACTAAGAATTAATCTACTCGGGCTGTAGGAGGAGTATTGGCAGCTCTCTGAATTGGTATATTACATAACATATTAGTCCTGCTGATACAACTACGCCTACTTGGCTAGAAATCCTGTGATATATTCTAAGTAAGCGTGCAAATTTATTTCCTATTTTTTTCTATTTTTTCTCTCTTTCTTGTATGATAAAAAAGTATACCAATTACTCTTTCCTCACATTTTCCATTACTGAAATATCCTTTTTGCGTTTATTGGCAATTATGTAATGCTTGACGAACACGTTTAACAA